GCCAATAAGAGGTCAGGCCTTTTCTCCCTGTCTCTCTTTAATGTCTGTCCTCTCCTCTCAGTCCTTCCTATCCTGGATCCGGCCACAAAGGATGTTAAACTGGCTCTGAACATCCACCTCTGGCCGGCCACATTCTCCTAACAATTTCATTAGCCTAAATTATCCATTTTATTTTCTTGTAATGGGATTAGCAGCTGAAGACCAGAGGGAGAGAGCAGCCTTGTCCATTAGCACACCCAGTGGAAGATTGTCTTGTCCACAATATGTGCCCTAGGCTGGAGAGGGCGCCTCCTCATCCCCTCCTTAGAGGACAAGGGGATCTGCCTCCCGATGAGCTTGCTACCCTACTTCTCGCTTCTTGTTTCAGACAGGGTCTCCCTGTGCTATGCAGGCTGGCTTTAAACTTGCTTGGTAGCGCTGACCAGAACTTAACAGTCCTCCTGCCTCAGCCTCCTAAGTAGCTGGGATTCCAGGAGTATGTTATCCCATAAGGTCCATCTGAATTTTCTTGTTTGACTCAGTAGCCAAATGGATTTGAGAAGTACTACATCTTCTCAGGCCCCCAGATGGACCTTTCATGTCACTAACACAGTAAAGACACTGACAAGGTCTGCAGCGGAAACAATGACTGAACTCTTTACAGATAGTACCCAGACTGAATCTCTATGCAGAATACCAACAGATGCCTTTTAGGACAGCTTTGAGCAGCATGGATTTAAAGGGCAACACCTCACTTTTAATCACTCTTCCATTGCCCTTCACTGGCTTCTTGGATCCTCCAGCACCACACACTCCCCATGATTCTGCCCACTCTGGCCCCATCGGGTGAACACACAGGCCTTGGTGCCGTGTTCAGCCTCCTTGGGAGCCCCACCTCACCACCCGATAGCCTCGTATGTTTCCACAGATTCATTAAACAAGCTAGCTTAAGCCTTGCTTCTCCAAGTGTAAAATGGGCCCTGAGTCCTAACAGCCTTTCTAAGGACTTCATGGAGCAGCACCCAGGTTACACTTCCTGTAACACCTGCCACTGTCGCTCAAGATGTGCCTGTTGGCAAAGTCAGAGGAGACTATTAGGTGCCCATTTCTATTTAGGTGTTAATATCTTCCTTCACACGTGTGTAATTTTTATATATTTAATACATTTTGTGCATGTGGGGAGGCGTGTCTGTGTGCGTGCGCGTGCACATGCAGGTGGGTCACCCATATGAGCATGTGTCGAGGTCAGAAGTCAGCATCCAGTCTTCCGTGATCACTCACTGCTTTATTTTTGAGACAAAGTCTCTGGCTTTTACATGGGGCACCCCAGTCTGGCTGGACTGGCTAGCCAGGAAGCTTCAGGGATCTGCTGGTCACCCCTCAGAGCTGAGATTACAGTACATACTACCACCCCAACATCCACGTGGGTGCTGGAGATCCAAACTCAGGTCCTCAGTCTGCACTTTATCCACTGAGCTGCCTCCCAGCCTCGTGTTTCTGATTTTTAAATCAGACATACATGGTGAGACAGCAGTATGTGAATGTGCCACTCATAAATCAATAGTGAATGCATATCAGGGACCCGTTCCCATAACTCCTTCTGGTGGGCACGGACCTCCTCAGGAGAACCAAACCTAATAACCACAAGTGTATAGTCGGCACCTGATGGGGTCAGGTGCCATGTCTGGTTTTTCCAGGAGGGCTTGTGTGCTCCAGAGGGGTTTGCTAGGCGCCTGCAGGGTCCACGGTGCCCAAACCCCAGCGCTCCTTATGATTCCTCCAGCGTGTCACAGTTAGCTCTGAGGCCTAGAGGACGATGAGGGTGGTCAGCGCCATCGGCTTCAGATGCGTCTGCGCTTGGGCAGACTGTCCGCAGGCAACATTATGGCCAGACTGCATCGTCATGCAGCGTGGAAGCCCCAAGAATCCACATTGTATGAATATGAAGTACTGCAAGAGCTGCAGGCAGGGCAAGGCCAGGGCTCAGCCTGAGGTGGTGCCGGCATCTGTGGTACCTACTGCCACCTTCTTTACTGTGTTTTGGCTTCGTGGCCCATATTTCAAAATCTCTTAGACTCTGGGCTACAGAATTTGTATTCTGAAAGGGAAACATGGCCAGCTGGGGTCCACATGGCCACCTGGAGGCCGTGGCTGGACTCAGCAGTCCCTGCCTGCTCTGGTGGAACATTGACCTTCAACATGTGCAGGCTTCCAGTCCTGTGGGAGCCTGGTTGCCATCCCACTACAGTTGGTTCAAAAAGACAGTGAGGGACCAGCATCCAGGATGGATTCACAGGCAATGGGGTTGCTGCTGTTCTGGGAACATTATGGATCTTGACCACCAGGCTGCTTCTCTCCTACCACTCCCCAGTGAGCTTAGCCCCCTTCACCATCTGTCTGGCCCTGGGAGTCATGAACTTGGGTATGGCTGGCCTCCTATGACATAGCTTGGTATGACACAACTAGACACAGCTTCCACAAACCTTTCAGGAACTATGATGACCAGCATAACTAGGCATTGACCCACCCATGGTCACTCCCTCTGAGGTGCAGAGCCAGGCCAGGGTCCACTGCCTTCTGGATCCTCTCACTGGAGCCACTCAGGAGAAGCCCTGCATTCCTCTCAGAACAGCCCCAACTCACCCCAAGTGTCCGTTTAACTGCTCACCCCTAGGATCGCCCATCTAGAAAAGGAGTCTGCGCTTGCCTGGCAAGGGCCCTGGGAAAGGCCATCAAGAGAGCTAAACGCCGCCCTCTGCTCCTCTTTTCTCACTTACTCAGAAACCAGGTGATTTTTCAGCCTTTGAGAGGCAAAAATGAAAGGGAGTGTTGGCTGATGGCGATCGGGTAACCTTTTTACACCGGCTCTCACCAGACCGAAGCACTGGGTAATTGGAAGAGTTCAGTGTAAAAGGCGCTCTTTAAAAAGAGCCAGCTCAGGGACAAAGAGAGAGAGACTCCACACTTGAACGTGGCTCCATTAACCTGGGCCACCGTGTCTACAGTCTTGCTTATCTGTGGCTCTGGGGGGATAGAAGCACCCCATGCAGGCAGTGCTCTGCTATGTACACCTCAGCCCAGGTCATCTTTGGAGGAACCACCTCTCCTTTCCCAGCAAGCATGGGACCCAGCACAGGTGTGGCCCCAGAATCCACTGCAGAAGAGTGGTTTACCATCAGCCCATTTGCAAGGCTGGAGATGGGACAGCACAGCTTCAATGCAGCGGTCTCTGGAGACTTAGCGTTAGCCCATCCCAGCAAAAGTGGGTAGGTTTTTTTGCCGGCACTGTGCCCAGCCTCCCTTACCACTAAAGCCAGCCACAATGGGCAAAGGCCAGGTTTGTGTCTAGGTGACAGTGGGCCTGGCCCTCTACTTTGCCACTAGAGTATTCAGCCACACTCTGGGAACCCTAGGGGAAGGGGGCTAAGGGACAGGACCACCAGCAGGGCAGCAGCCAGCTCGTGTTCTCATCAGATCCCAGTTACTGGGGAGAGATCAGATGGCCTAGGGGCTGGCCCTGGTCTGTTAAGAGAGGTACTGTCATTCCGGAATGAGAAAAAGCAGATATGTTGCCTGCCTGCGGCCTGGCAAGATGACTCACCCCAGGACTCTGCACCTTGCATGTTCCAGGCCTTGGGCTGGTTGGTGTAGACAAGGTCACATGTGGACACTGAGAACCAGACTGCAGGCCTAGGGACCTACCACTCACCTTGAACCCAGCTCTGCCACCTGCCACCTGGGAGGAGGACTGAGTGACCAGCCTAGGTTTCCTCCTCCTGTGGCAGTACCTTGCTCACAGGGGACTTCTGAGTTTACACCCAAGGTGCCCAGCACGTAGGTCCGATGCCAGTGACAGCTTGCTGTGCCATGAGTGTAACATGACAGTTGCTGCTGGGGCAGGGGCAGGGGCAGATTTGAAGGACTTCTGCACAGCAAGAGGAGGCCTGCAGCTTGTTCTCATCACAGAGCCATCCCTTTATTGTGTTGCGGTCACAGCACTGCTCTCTGGGTCCCTTGGGTGGCAGCAGACTCTTTTCAACAATCCCTAGAGCGCAGGTGGGGAGAGGATCTGCCAACACACTTCACCACGTGACTCTTGACACTCAGCCTGGGACTCTGCTTCTTCCTGAGTTCCAAATAGCTAGCACTCAGGAGCAGGATGTCCTGACTGCCCCTTGGTGGCGACATACAGTTAGGCCTGCCTTTAGGCCTGCCCACTCAGCCTGAACCAGGCTCTGGAGCAGCAGTGTCACATCAGGCTTGGTCTCTCTAGAAGTCTCTATACATTCTCCCTCTCTTCCTTCCCCCTGACCAAGGGAGGGAAAAGGAAAGGGGTAATTCAGCCCTTTTCAGTAGCAGGCTGGGCCAGGTCTGTGCAGGGTGTGTCTGAAGGGTGCAGGCTACATCAAGCCTGCCTTGGCCTGTGTGTGCAAACATGCCTTGCACACCTGACTTGTTTCCAAGACCGGGCATAATTGGCTCACCTCCCCCAACACACGGGCGCCCCCTCCCACCTCCCACACCTCAGAAGAAATTAGAAACACCACACAACAAACTCCACTTATTGTAAACCCTTGGACCCACCACCAGTCATGTGATGGCGTGGCAGAGGGGGTGGGGCCTCAGTGCTGGAGGAGTAATTGGTGAACCTGGGGTGAATGAAATAATTGGAAAAGTGAGGTGTGAGTTTGTTAGGGAAGTGTGAGCATGGGGGAGGGGCGGAGGCCATGTTTAAAGCCCGCTCTGGCCTCCTTATTCACAGCTTCTGATACAGTAATTGCTATTTTGTGGTTTCTATTATCTACACAGTGGGGAGCGTGCGCAGCTCTGTCCCCCGGCGCGAGGTTGGGCTGAGGGATGAGTCGCTGGGTGGGGTGTTTTCCTTCCCTCCCTCGCTGGCCCCTGCCCAGCCTCTCCCTGCTGACCATGGCCTTGGCTCCCAGGAGACAGAGTTCACGTGGAACTCCCTTCAAAGACCTCTTTTAAAACAGCCCCATGGACCTCGCTAGCAGATAAGAGCCTTCATAACGGCTGATATTTAATGTCGCTTATCTCCACAGAGCGAAAGGTACTTCATCGATTTTTTTTTTTCATCCCCACCCTTCTTTTTGCTTCTTAATTCTGTCTATCCCTCTGCCATCGTTAGTGTTGGTCTTCCATGATCCTTCATCACAAAGGCACCTGGAGCATCACTGACCAGCACTGTCCCTGGGGACCAAGGACAGGAACTCGCCTGTGCCTTGAATCCAGCCACTTTTGCTCTTTGTCCCTTGGATTTCTCATCTACTGACCAGAGGCGGTGACACTGTTGACCCCAGCATTGTATATTTCAGGGTGACGGCTTGCAGAGCTGGCAGGCCACAGGTCCTCCTTGGTAGCTGGGGTGATGGCAGCAAGGACAGTTTCCTGAAGCCTCCACCATTTCCAGAAGTATTCACAGACAATTCGTCCCTTTCTTCTTCTCCAGCTTCTTTCTCCACCTTTTAATTATTTTCCTCGCCTTTCTCCGGACCCTCAGCTGCTTACCATGCACCGAGCATCCACAGCTAGCAGCAGGCTGCAGAGGGGAAGAATTAACCTCAGCAGTTCCCCCTTCCTCTCTCCCTCTCTCCCTCCTTCCCCCTCACAGCCAGGCAGAGGGAGGGAGTGCATGGTCTCTCTCCCTTGCCCTGTGATCCTGTTTGGATCACTGGGTCCCTAGGATATGACTTTCTCAGCTACCAAGCTCCCCCAGCCCCTGAATACACACTGGGCTCTTGCTTCCCCCTGGACCTGGCCACATTTGGGGAAGTAGCTGGTCAGGAGGGGGTTGAACCCTTGTGTGTCAGAGCAAGTGAGTGCAACACCTGTTCCATTCCTAGCAAGAGCCAGCTGCTGCTTCCCTGGAACTCGGTTTACTTGTCTGTTAAATGGGGTAGTAAGATTTGATGTGATTAATCTCACAGCCTCTTTCTCCCAACCATCCCTGACTTTCCCCTCAGTCTCCTCTTTTCATTCTAGAAGTGCCTCCAGCTTCTATGTGGGCAGGCACTGAGCTCCAGGCTGCAGGTGCTGCCATGAGCAGTCAATCACTGTGGTTTCTTCTGTTGTTGAACTGACTCCACCCCAGAAGAGACTGGTCAGGACAGAATAGGTGGTGGCGTTGTAAAAGAGCAGACAGGTGCTCTGGGCTTGGGGCAGTGCTGGAGAGCCAGGGAAGACACCTGGACCCAGTCAGTGACACCCAGCCTGGTTGTCCCACACCTTCTAGCCTTCTCATATGGATGTGAAGCCCTGGGCTCTCAGGGTCCCTGTAGGTGTCCCTGTCCAACCCAGTGACTCTAAAGAACTGGTGACCAGTGAGCTGTTTCTGTGGACCAGCCTGCTGGCTGACCTGTCCCCGTGTCCTCTTTGCTCCCTGTCCTGGGCATCCCTGCAGAGGCTGTATGTGCCATGGGATGTGCTGCCTTTAGGTGGCAGAATAAAGCAGGGTTTGCCTGGTACATGCTTCAGCTCCAGCCGTCTCATCCCACCTGCCTCAGCCTCAGTCCCCAACCCGGCCCCCTCAAGTCAACCAAGAGCCCCTCTCACAAAGTGTCTGGCCAGACTCCTCTCTGCCTCCCTCTCCTCCCAGGGAGACTGGCCTGGTCTCCAGTTTTGTTCCCAGCGGCCTGCACAGAGAAGGCATGGGGAGGGGGAGCTGGGCTGCCGGGGAGAGCCAGAGCAGACGTGCAGATTCATTTTGAGGCTTCATAATGCTGCATTTACACACCATCCTGCCTTCGGAAATGGGACCGGCAGATGCCTGGTCATGCTGGCAGGGCTGCAGGTTAACGCCTCGGATTGAGCTTATATCATTTTGCAAGTGCTTATGGCCTGTGCTATGTTCTCTACCCGGTTGGTCCTTGGCCCAAAGCATCCCAACCCACTGTGTATGGATGTGTGGACCTGGCGGCCGCGCATGTGTGTAGTTTTTCAAATAAAATAACACCTCTCTTCAGATGCCATGCACATTAAATATTTATCAGTGACAATTTGTGCGTATATATTTGATAAATGGACATTAGGAGGGGTTTGGGGTGGAATGAGATGAGGAAGCCAGGGAGGTGCTGAGGAAGCACAGTCCTTTTGTCCTGGAGTCTCTGCAATGTTTAGCTTGGTAGAGAGGAGAGGGGCGACCCGAGGATGGGCTGTGCTATCTACCTGATCAGTTTTTCTTTGCCAGAGCGTTGCCTGACTGGCTTAGTAGATATCAGAAGGGAGCCTAGGAAGGGGCATGGAGTTCAGAGGAAAGAGCTATATGTTTTTAGAGCCTGAGTCCCCAAGCATCTTCGGGCCCTAGATCCTGGGCTGACTGAAAGGGCTCCGTGCTGGCTTACGCAGCATGGAATCACTCACCTCAGGTTTGCCGTGTGCCTGGGTCCAGATGCAGAGGCTGACTGGGAAAAGCTCAGGCTACCCTCCCAGTCCTGTGTCACACAAGCAGCCACCTCACTCTAGCTGGCTCATCCCATAGGAAAGGACAGGCGTCCAAGTGTCCCCCAGGTAGCAGGAGAGGAACCTCCAGCCCGATGCTGCCCTCCCTCCCCGACTTGGTGGCCAGCAAGGAGAAGGAAGCCACACCTGCCACAGGAGTGTGCCTGGGCCCATGGGTATGCCTGCTTGCAAGCAGCTCTCTGGTAGCCTGCAAAGATCCGCTTCCAAGACTCAGCCCTGCACCCCACCTCTTATGGGTCCCAGTACTAACCTCTGATGCTGGCGTTTTGTCTCTAGCACCTTTGGGGAACTGAAGACAGTGCGCCTGCCGAAGAAGATGACAGGGACAGGCGCACACAGGGGCTTCGGTTTTGTGGACTTTGTCACCAAGCAGGATGCAAAGGTGAGTGCAAGCCTTTGTAGAGAAGCAGCGGCCTCAGCCTGGGTGGAATGTCACCACCCTGTGCTGTTGTCTCTCCTTGACCCAGGTAATTTTGACATTCTGGAAGGAAGAACTCTGTGTTCCCACCACACACCTGCAGGAGCCAAGGCCACCCTGTTTCTCAGGCTCTTTCATGGCAGGGAAAAGCTCCCAGTCTGGTTGGCCCTGGGGCTGGACAGTGCTATTTGGAACTGGTCTGTGGGGTAGGACCTGGCTTCCTCCTCATCCCTCCACTCATGGCCAGTTCCAGTCTGTGCTGGTGGCACAGAGAACCACTCCAGCAGAATCACAGTATATGCACATGTGGGCTTTTCTCACCACACTGAGTAGAGTACCCTTATTTTTTTTTTTTTATGGAGTTTTTAGCATTTGTTCACTTATGTGTCTGTATGGCATCTGTGTAAGTGTGGGCATGCACATGTCACAGCACACATGTGGAAGTCAGAGGAGAACTTGCAGTGATTGGTTCATTCCTTCCAACGCGTGGATTATGAGAATGGAACTCAGGTTATCAGGCAGGGTAGCAAGTATCCTTATCCACTGAGCCACCTTGCTGGCCCCATCCTTGGTCTTTGAGGCAAGGCAGCTGCTCTGGCTTCAGGCCTGGGATAGCCCAGCCAGGTTGTGCTGCTAGTGCAGTATTGGGTCCTCACCAGCTGGGTCTGGGAGCTACCTTCATGATCCCAAGCTTCAAAAGGCCAATATATACAGGACAGGGGCTGCTGGGCCACCCTTGTGGCCCCATCCTGAGCTCTGTACCTGTGCAGCATTGGCCTCCATTGCCTCATCTTTTCTTCTGGCCATCAGTGCACCCAGGAGTCCCCAGAGGCCTGGGCACCTTCACCCCAGAGGGCATCCTATGGGAGAGCAGAGGGGTTCTGGAAGTGGTGCAAGGGGCCCGAGAGGTGGGAGCACATGGAGTAGAAGGGGCAGCTTGGATACCTAGCCATGGGCACAGGGTGCCGGTCCCCAGTACATGGCAGCCACCTGCATCCCTATAACCCCACCTCAAGTACCTGTTCTGTGACTACCATTGTCTAGACCTCTGTCCTCTCTCCTTGTCTGCCAGCCCTTCCCTTGTCTCCTCCAGCAGTGGCAGAAGGACAACTTTGAGGGCGGGCTTGGAACCAGGAAAGCAGTAGCACTGATGGTAGCTCATCCTCTACTGGCCCTACCCAGGTCTCTGATTTTCTCATCTATGAAATGGGTATTGATAGCGGTTGCCACCCCCACCCCCTCCAGGGTTGTGACAGATGAACCACCAAGGCCAGTCCCTGGCATGTGGTGGGTAGCAGACACAATATGTTGGCTTCCTCATTGCCTAAGCTCAGGCCCCCTCGTCCCTTGGCTCCTAGGTCTGTGCACACTTGTGACATCTGTGAGCAGAGCAGCCCTGCCAGCTCCCTGTTGATCCTGTGGGGCTGTGGCAGTGATCTGGAAGGATGGAGATCCCAGGGCTAGCCCCTCAGTGGAAGCCCTCCTTCCGTAGTGACTGCGCTGCCAGAAGTCAGTGTTGTAGCCGACCTGGCATGTATGCTTGGGGAGGGACAGGCCAATGTGGATGTCCACAACCCCCTTGCCATATCACAGTACAGTTTGCATTTGCATTAATGAGGACAGAGTGGAGTGCCTGGGGTACAGGGCACCCAACACTCAGTTGTCCCAAGCAACAGTACTCAGACTGGCTGCTGTGTCACTCAGATGTCACTCCATCATGTCACAGCCCAGTCTGTGATTTATGGAGGTCCCCCACCCCCTTCCAGATTCCATTCATGGCTCTTGAGAGAAAGGGCAGCCAAGGACAGCAAGGGCTCAGCCTGCAGCCCTGGAGCCTGGCTCCATCCTGCCCTCACCATGCCACATGCTATTTCTGCCCTCACTATGCCTGCAGCAGACCCTGCCCCATCCTCCACATGGAGACACACACCCTTTTTACCACTGAGCAAGCTTGTCTTGCTAGAACTAGGATCCAGGCTCAGTCTCCCACCACGGTCCCTTGTGCTTCTTAGGCAGCTGTGGCAATCTCCTTCACTCCTTGGTCTCTCTGCTGAGTGGTGCTGAGTACTCCTCACCCCCACCCCCTGTAGATCCACACACCCTGCACCCAGTGTGGACAGACTCCGAACATGGAGTCTCTGCAAAATATGCCTTGTGCAAGGGGATTACTACTCTACAGAGCCTGGAGTAGAGCGAGAACAGAACCCAGCCAAACTGGAGGTATCCCTGCTTCTTGGGATGTGCTCCCCTGAGCACTCCCCCGACACACACATATGAAGTTCAGGGGAACGACCCCCCCCCCCGAAATGCTCCAGCTCCCAGTGGTCTCTGACCCTCTTATCACCTCCCACTTTGGCTCCTTCACACAGAGCAGCATTGGTCAGTGAGGACGTGCAGTCTTGTGCCCTAGGAGACCCGGTCCCAAGCTTCCTAGGTGTAAAAGCCAAGAAAAGAGAAAAGGAAGGAGAAAAGGTCTCTGGGAAGCCCCAGAGACTCATTTTATCTCCGTTCCTGGCTCTAGGCCCGTGCCCTTGCCCTTGCTCCTCACCTTCTGAACAGAGTACAAGAATTTTGGCAACCCCTCCCATGGGTGCCTACCCAGCCCTGAGCAGGTGCCCACTCCATAATCCCAGTGAGGGCTTCTGAGTCATTCATTGATCCTTCCTTCAGGAGATCCACCTCATACCTTGCTCATCCTTGGGGGCTCTGAGCCATCAGGCCCCTTCTGAGTCACCCCACAGTGGAGAACAAACCTAGCAAGAAGCTCCGTGAGGGCCACGTGACAGAGCCAGGAGGAGCCAGCACCCACAGTAATGAGAGGCTCCCGCAAGCACCACCCTTACAAGCAGCACATTCACCCTAGGCACGTCACTTTACTGCAACCCAGTGCACCATGGTCGGGTGGGAGAGGCTCTGAAACCCCCCTCCCTGTTCTTTGCACATCTGCAGGACTGCAGTGCCCACCCCTGGCTGGCACTGAGATGCTCTGGCAAGCTGGGGGAGGGTCCAGGCCATCTTCCTTCATCATGGGCACCTGTGACCTGAGCCATGCTCTGGGAAAGTGATGAGTTAGCAAATCCCTATCTAGGACGGTTGATCAGCCCCTGGTGTCCCAGGCTGCAGGCTTGATGATGCAGCATTTCTCACATGACCCCTCACAGAAGAGTGTCGCTGGAAACAGTGTCAGCTGTGGAGGGAAGACTGGGGTATGGCAGAAAGTCAGGCTCACACACTTCCTGTCTACCTGTGGTGGTCTCCCCAAGTTGTCCCTCTACCCATCTCTCTTGCTTCTCTGGGCCTCAGGGACATCTCTAAATTGATAAAGCTATTGACTTCGGGCACCCCATCTTTGGCGGGAACAGTGCCAGGTACTAGAGTGACTCAGGGTGGGCACGGTTGGGGCTGTTGGAATGGTGGAGAAACAGGCTCAAAGCCCAGAAGCCAGGTGCTCAGGGTTGAATACCACTGGTATTCTACAGAGCTGGGCACAACACAACTCCCTCCCATCAGGCACTGATTCCAAAGTGCCCTCCTCCTCTCCCCCAACACCTATACCTTCCACCCAGCCTCACCCTGGAAAAGGACTCTCTAGGTAGCAGCACGCAGAAAGGTCTAGAGGGCCCTGCAGCCCCCAGAGGAGCAGTAAGTAGCCCCCCTGTGTTCCTGGTTCCCTCTAGCACCCAAGGCACAGGATGCGGCCCTTTTACCTGAGCAAGCAAATCTAAGCAGCCACCAATAACCACTGTGATCGCGTCCGTACACTGCCTTCCTCTCTACCTAGCCCAAGCTGGCCCTGGAGGAAGAAGGAAGGAGCCACCCAAATGGGAAGGACACAAGGAACAGACAGGTGCCCAGAAACCAGAATATTAATTTTTCCCCATGCAAGGCGCCTTTTAATTCTCTCTCCTGAGCCACACGCCTTTGTACTTTTGCAGTTGCAGCTGTTTTTGCCACCGTCGCTGTTGTTTTAAAAGGTCTATTTTCACATGGAATGTTATCCAATTAGCAGAGCAATGTGTTGGCTTAAATAAACACTTGGGGGGAGCCAGCAGCCGAGATTCGATGGCGGCTGGCATTGGCAAGCAGCTCTGCCATGGTAAACAACTGCAGCTGTAATTGTGGGGCCACTCAAGCTAGCATCTTCTGCTTTCCTCGCTTCTCCACCATGCCGAGTGGACACCCACAGAGCGGCGGGATGCATGGTCCAAGCCCACCCCAGATGATGATGCCACATGGTGTGGAAGGCACTGCAGTGCAACCTGGGGTGGTAGAACTGGCAATGAGGGGCAGAACAGAGCTTTCTGGGACTGCCCACCTCTCTCATTGGGGCCTGGCATCCCTGCCCAGTGCTTAGTGTGTGCCTTGCAACAAGAGGTCCATCCTGTGATCTATAATGTGTGCTCGGTGCACATCTGCAGGATGGTATCTGAGGGGAAGAATGGGATGTCAGTGCAGCAGGGTTTCTGGGGGCAACCCCCAAGGAGATGAAGCCAGGACAGTGTCTCAGACACCCCTTTTCCAGCTGGGAAACATAGTCGGTGTTGGTGTAGCCAGTGATGTTAGAGCTGCCTTTCCAGTTTTACAAATGGATGCCTGAGCCCAAATGACCCCTGCCCCACAGTAGGAACTGGTGATGCTACCCTTGGACAGTAGCAGAGAGTGAGAAGACCAGAGTGCTCCTATGCTGAGGAGAGAGGCAGCTGAGTCCCCTGGACCCCGATGGTCCCTTAGGATCAGTTGTTCCCTATCTGCCAAGAGTCTTAAGGGAACAAACTCAGAAGTCAGGGTTTCATCCCCACTTTTCTGTTCAGGAATGGGTGAGTGAGTGAGTGTGTGTGTGTGTGTGTATATGTGTGTGTGTGTGTGTGTGTGTGTGTGTGTGTGTGTGTGTGTATGTATACACACACATGCATGCTTTGGCACATGTGTAGAAGTCAGAGGACAACTTGTAGGAATAGGTTCTCTCCTTCCACTGTGGTTTCTGGGGATCACACTCAGGTCTTCAGGCTTGTGTGGCAAGTACTTTTACCTGTTGAGCCATCTCACTGGTCCCCCCTGTGTGTGTGTGTGTGTGTGTGTGTGTGTGTGTGTATGTATACACACATTTTGGTACTGTGGCTTTGCCAGGCTCCTGTCAGCACAGCCAGAAATATGGTATGTTCAAATTCTAGCCAAGCTTGTATTTCAAGGTAGAGACTCAGGCTTAGCCAACACATAAGGGTTGAGGACCCAGAATCAGCACAAGCTATCTTCCTTAGAATAGCAGGTGCTGCCTGGCTCATTGCCAAGGCATAAGCAGGGTCACACTGTAACCCTTTGCCAACCAAAGCCCTGCAGACCTCTGTGTGAACCGAGGCTGCCAGAGACCTTATAGACCAGAGAGAGAAGGACTTGTGTTCCCTTGTCCTCTCCAGATTTGTTGGGCACTCAGTGTGAGTCAAGGAAAGATAGAAATCCCAACTGAGAGGCAGGCATGGGGCCAAGGGACAGCCACTGTCTTGCTTAGGCCTCCTGGCAGTCCTTAGAGGTGGCAGGTCCCCCACACTGGCCTGTACTTGGCCATTCTTAGTCACCTCATCACCGTTACCTTCAGGTTTGGAGTACAAATAGTTCTGGGCAGATTGGTGATGTTAGTGTTTGGATGCCTTTAGCAGATATAGAGCTCTGCTCTGCTGGGGATGGCCCCCAAAGAGCAGGAGGGCCCAGGCCAGGAAGCCGCCCAACTTCTAAGGGCAGAAGGTCCATCCTCTGCTCTGCCCTCAGCCCTACATCAGTCCATCCTCTGCTCTGCCCTCAGCTCAGCCAGCTCTCACAGCCCCATGGGACTGGAGTCCTGCCAAGGACTCAGAATGGGCTTTGGCCGCTGCAGGGAGTTTTGTCTCTAGAGAAGCTGCATAAAGGTCGGAACCCAGTGCTGCACTAGCAGCCTTTCAGTACCTTCCATGGTCTTGAAAAGACAGCCACCAGGCTCAGCCTCAGTGTAGTCTGTGCTGTACCACTACACTGTCTGAGCAGACTTCCTTCCAGCTAGGGTTAAGATGAGGCATCTGGTGCCTATGGTCTCAGACCTGAGGAATGTAGCTTCCGTCACAGGAAATCAGATGGGGATATGGGGGTCTCTAGCCCAGAGGAGCAGCTCATAGCTCAGGATAGGCTCTCTGGAGAGCCCCACATGTGCCTACCAAGGTTCCCCTTGGAGTGAGGGTTCAGTAGGAGCAGGTCTGCCCACAGTGGTTCAGGTACAGAAACTTTACACACCATTGTGAAACACATCCCCCAGGATTGAACAGTGGGGAAATGTCATCATTGTCCGAAGAATAAAGAGAACACAGAGGGAAAGTGAGACCTAAGCTGTGGTCTGGAGGACAGGAACCAGGAGTCTTCCCCACCCTACTCCCATCTCCCAGCAGACCTCCCATCCACATCCACTATGTAGACACAGGGAACTAGAGCTGGCTGTGAGCCCAGGAATAGGCTTCTAAAGCACAGGATGGGGCCAAGGTGACCCTTATGGTTATCAGATGGCAGGGCATGGCTCTCCAGGGCAGGGTGGCTCCTCTGTGGCAATCTCTTTACCAGTACTTGAATCCCTTAGGTCACACTCTAGACCAACTTGATGTGTCTCCTGTGCCTATGACTGGGTTGCTGTGTCCATCCTGCAGGGACCCAAAGTCATGCGTGCTGGGTACAGCAGACCAAGTCTCAGTCATCATCAGGTCTAATGACCCAGCAACCCAGCAGTCCTAACTGTGCTCTCCAGCAAGGTAGACTTCCCCTCTTTGTCTTCGTGGTCTGACACTCAAGATTGAAAAGGCATCAGGGTAGGATACCCAAGGCAGGGCCACCCTGGCCGTCCACCCAGGAGCAGGCAGGTTCTCAAGACTCATGGTAAAGGACACATTGTCACTGAGTCATTACTGAGCACAAGGTACTAAGGTTAGGAACAGTTGAAGGTTTTCCCTAGAGTTCAGATCTGATGGGGAGACTGGCACAGGCAGGCATGGTAGAGCACCATCAGGTTCTGGAACTGAGGCCAGGGGTGCTGTGTGGGTAGACCCTTCCCAAAGCAGACTGGAAGTTACTGTGCCAGGGGAAATGAAGAGGATGAACAGGAAAGGAGTGGGGAGGCCGACCTGCAGGCTCACTCGGGCCTCACTGGCCCATTCTGGTAGGAAGCCAGTGAACCTAAAGCAGTGTTAGCCAAGGTCAAGTGGTGGGAGGCCTGTGAAACCAGGGGCTCCCTGGGCCACACCAGGAAGACTGTTGGCTTCAGGCCCCTGAGCCTGGCCCCGCCTGGGAGGGGAGGGATGAGGGAGGGATGGGGTGGTTTCTGTGGGCTCAAACATAGGGGGGACTGCTGGCAGACCTCAGGCCAGGGAGACTGAGGCCTGCACTCTTCCCTCTGCTGTGCCTGGAACCTTCAGGTCGTGCCAGGTGTCCCCTTGAGCCAGCCCAAAAGCTCCTGGAGGCTGGGTTGTTTCTCCTTCCTGACCTGTGCCCCCAGAATGCCTCAGACTGACAAGTCCCCTCACCTGTTCATTAAACAGCACTATCCAAAGCTGGTTTTACCTTGAGCCTCTGTATTTGCCCCACTTCAACAGTTTGATGGCACCACACTCCAGCCCAGGCAGTGGGCACATGGAGTATAGCCTGATTTCTCAGCCCGTGGCGACTAGAGCTGGGAAGGGCTGCCCCTATTTTTGGAGAACCCCATACTGTGTTTTAAGAGAAAGCACAAAAGAGCTTTTGTGTGCAGCTACCATTCCCACTCTTGCCAGTGTAGGACGAGAAGTCAGCACACAATACCCGGCAGCATCGCAGCCCGGCAGTGCTCTAAACTGGGACTGAACGGCTCACTGAATTAGTCTCCACCTCCATCTTTGCTACTGCTGCTTTTAGACATGATGAAGCCTGGGCTCAGAGATGTTAAGCAACCTGCCCAGTGTCACACAGCTTGGAAGTGATGGAACAGGCATTTGAGCTGAGGTAGCCCAGTTGCAGAGTCCACTGTGGCCCCCATAGCCTCTGAGGATAGAAAACCCTTCCAAGAGGAACTAACTGATACAGTGCCAGAGGGGTGCAGGAGCCAGGAGCGCTGGAGTAGTGATGCCGGCGAGAGAGAGAGGAGACAACTCCTACAGTGAACAGAGACTTCGCCAGACCCTCTGAGGCACAGCGGAGTCAGTTCCAGAGATGAGAAAGAACTAAGGCTGGGCTTGGAGTGGCTTGCCTGGGCCCCCCTCCAGGGTCTCTTTCCCGCTTTGTAAGTTTGGGCCAAGCAGCCACCAGATGCAGCCTTAGCTGTCCCAGTCTGCCTTGTCCCCAGGATGCGGCTCCTTGGGGACCCTCACCAGACAGACGCCCCACCAGTTCTCTGTGTCTTGAGGCACCGGCTCCCCAAGTCCCACTGCCTCCCTGCCTTGCCAGCTGAGCATGTGTGTTTTAGAGCTCTGAATGGGCCATTTCAGCTCGGGGGCCAGATGCATTTTTATATCCACGTGGAAAAAATGGCAGGGGCTCTGCTGGCAGTCAGAGAGAGGGTTTTAAATTAAGTTTTTTTTTTAAAGGGAAGGAAAAGTTGCCTGCACCTGTCCCCTCTTGGCAGCATAGAGAACAAAGTGTGGGAGCTTCCCTCCCTGCGGCCTCAAGCTGCCCCCCACTCCTGTCCTCCTGTCCTTCCAGAAGGGTTCTGTTTGTCTTGAAAAGATACTAGGTGCCCTGGTGCTTGTTCTAAGTCCCAGGTAGCCCTTTCCTAAATGTGACGTGGCCCAGTCGGGGGAGGTGGCTTGCCCAAGGTCATAGCCTTACTTCCCAGGGCCACAGAAATGAAGCTTCCCACATGGGTAGCTTAAATAAGCATGTTGCCTGGCAGTTTTAGAGACCTCAAGTTCGTGTAGCAGAGAAGGCTATCCCAGGCCTTACCCCCATCTCCACACAGTGTTTGCCCTGTCTGACACCAGTCCTGTGGGGATAGGGCTGCCACACCAATATTCACCTAGCTGTTTCCAAGCATAGGCACCTTCTGAGGTGCTGTAGGTCAGGACCTGATGTATCTTTTTTTAAAAAAAAAAAAAATTATTTTATGTGTGTGGGTGTTTTGCCTGCATGTATGTCAGTGCACCTGTGTCACACAATGCCCAAAGAGGTCAGAAGAAGGCACTGGATCCCCTGGCATTACTAATGGCTGTTAGCCGCTATGTGGGTGCCAGGAACCAAACCTGCGTCCTATAATATTAGCCAGTGCTGCCCCTAAAATTACTTGCTTTTTTGGAGACAGGTCTCAATATGCAAGGAGCCCATGCCTAATGGTTATTGGGTACCTCCAGACGTCAAAGCAGCAAGAGGGGTGGGCCCACAGTGCCTCTCTTGACCCCATACCACTGTCACCCCTCCAGAGGCAGAGCCAAGGCTGGTTAATCAACCAGTCCTGACACTCTGCAGCCAATGGGAGAGTGCAGGACTTCCCTTTCTACACCTCAGAACCTACAGAGAGAAAGAAATCGCAGAGGTGGTTAGGCTGAAGGAACACAAGAAGCAGCGAGCTCGGTGCCTGCTGATGGCCCCACACTGTTGGGGTCACTTTTCTTGTCCTCCTTGGAACCCTACGTCCATGTGCATTTACCCTTCTGTTTAGGGAAGTGAGCTTGGAAGATGTGTTTAACTTGCTCAAGATATTGAAGCACAGAGCCTGCCCCACCCATGTAGGGTTCTCCAGAGTCAAAAGGACTCTGGCCACTGAGCCCCATGTTGCTAGTAACATGGGGTGTTTTGGGGTTGACAGGGGCATCCCTACACAGGGTCACTGAGCTTCCCAGTCAGCCTTGCTTAGTGGGATTTGATCAGTGCTGTCTAGTTGTGTTCATATGAAATACCCAGGGCTGGCACATCCAGAAAGAGGAAATGGATTCATGGTCATTATAGGCTGGGGGAGACTTAGGGGACTTGAAGACTGACAGCTAAGGTGTATGTTTCTCGTTGGGGAAGAGATGGTGGGATGTTCTAGAATTCACATGTTAATGGCTAAATATAAACACAGTGACAGTATGTGGATTGTATCTCATTACAGTGTGAGAAAAACAAAAGGTGGGAGCTAGGCAGATTTCAGAGATCAAGAACAGCCAGAGAGGGAAGGAGGAGCCTGTTCAAGGCCAGGATTGCTGAGCTGAGCCCAGCAGCCCCCCGGTGGAAAAGGCAGGGGGCAGGTAGAGGCAGCAGAACCAGACGGAACAGATGCAAAAAGATATGGGGACAGGACCACAAGACTAGCGAAAGGAGTGGTGCCAAGTAGCTGTGAAGTACTGTGTGTGTCTGTGTGTGTCTGTGTGTGTGTGTGTGTGTGTGTGTGTGTGTGTGCGCGTGTGTGTGTGTGTGCGCGCGCGCAGGCGTGGCACTACCCACAGTGGATAGCTGCTGACAGCTGGGTGGGAGGTGAGCCTACTAATGGGGTCGCCCTCTACAGTTAGGATGTCACATGGGAAATAGGTCATCTACCTGACCCAGGGAATAATTATGGCCCTGACAGTGGATATATTGACTGCTTAGTCACTTGCAGCTCTTTCCCTGGAAATATAACCCACTAATTAAGTAGATGTTCCCAACAGTGCCCCAAAGCCTCACCATAGATACAAAGTCACAAAGATGGAGCCTGAGCTCTGTATGCAATGCTACGGGCAGAGGGAGGCTCCTCCACAGCTCACGTGCTGCTGTTTCTTGTCCTCTCAGAGAGCCTTCAACGCACTGTGTCACAGCACTCACTTGTATGGCCGGAGGCTGGTTTTGGAGTGGGCTGACTCTGAGGTGACTGTGCAGGCCCTACGACGGAAGACAGCCAGGCATTTCCAAGGTAAGAGCAATTTAAGCACTGTTACCTGGTTGATTTGGGGCTCCTGGGGATTGCACATGGGACCAAGACCTCTAGGAGAGCCTCCCTCGTGGCCATCCTATGTCAGGAAGCCACATGCCCAACATTGGCAGGACGTACCAAGGCTCCTGACCTTGCCTGCTTACAAGGGAGTCGGGCATTCAGGGCCAAGCAGGTAAGTGAGGATGGCAGGGGGTTTATCCCCTGTCCATATAATGGTTCTCCATCTAGGATCCAACTGCTCCTTCAGGCTCAGGGATGCTGGCTGCGGCTCCCAGGGCCCAGCCCCCGGGGAGCCCAGTATCATCAAGTCCCCTCCACTCTACACACTCTGTGGTACCGTCTATGCTCCTTGCCTTGAGGGCTGTGTACTTCTGCCAGGCTCTGCTCACAGAGCTAACTCCAGCAGGATGACACCATGTGACCCTAAAGACTTAAGCCAAGACCAGGAAATCCTGAGCACCTGCCATCCTCGTGCTTGGGGCACCACTGTGATGAGCAGGGGTAGAGGACATGGGTGGGACAGGCTGGGGGCTTTCTCTTCATCAGTGGCCCAGGCCAAGGTTGGAGGGAGGCATGCGTCTGAGAAACAGAAGGCCAGTGTGCCCCAAGCCGAGAACTAGAGAGAGATGGGGAGAGCTGGAGAAGTCGATGGTACTGGAGCCAATGGGTCTCATCTCCAGTAGAGTGTGTGCCCCTCACTAGGATAGCACTGCTTGAACTTGAATCCCACCTCCTCACCTACCTTGGAAGTGCTTTCAAGTGGAACCCCAGGAAGCAAAGCTCCAGCTACTGGTGGCTGCCCACTTTGGGTCTGTTGGCTATGTGGAGTCTCCCAGCTGGGAGGACGTCCCCTCTTCCCACCTGCCAGCAAGGCTGGGCTCTGGGGTGGGCTGAGACAGCCCTATCTGAGGTTATACACAGTGCTGTGGTCTCAGTAGATAGCCTTCCTCCTGCCTGCTCATCCCTGGATCTGGGCCCTCAGGTAGCTTCCAAGATGGACCCCAAGTAACTACTGCTGTCCCCTGGGGGTGGTTTTCTATGAGACCCCTGCACCACTCCTGTCTGTTTATAGAGCCAGACTCGCAAGCCATTTGTCCTCGCCAACCAGGGATAGTTGATGGGCCTCTCAGGGACAGTGTCCCATGGGACGTGAACAGTCCAGGTTTCCGATCTTGCCTAGACCAAAGAGCAGAGTATGTAAGGAGAATCTTAACAGACCAGCAAGACTGTACCCAGCCAGTGTGCTGAGAACTGCAGGGGTCAGTGGTCCAGCAAGACTGTACCTGGCCAGTATATTGAGAACTGCAGGGTTAGCACAGGGCCTCTGACCACAGACAGCAGGCCAGACCCTTGGAACACAGAGCCTGGTCCTCTGTCGGTCTTCCCAGAGCCGTGCTGCCTCCCCACCGCACTTGCTATGGAGTTCCTTGTCTCTTCAACGTGGACACCTTGTCCATGCTGTTTTATAACAGTGCCAGCCCTCCCTGTATTTCTGCTTATGTCACAAGTGACTTAGAGACCCTGCTCCAAGGGCCAACACCACCTCCTGGCAGCCTTTCCCTCCGTACCCCCTGGGTATCAGGTGTCAGCCATCTCCATTGTCTGTGTGCCTCTGTCTGCATACTTTCTTGCCCTCTTATCCTCCCTTATGGCTTGCTGTTTTGGCCAGGCCCAGGCTCCCCCATGTGACAACTATGGTATGCTCATCTTTGTAGTGATCAGTTCCTAGCCAGGTACCTGGGCCCAGGCTCATCTCTGACTGGTGCCAGGCCTTCCATCCAGGGCTTGGGAACGCTCCAGCCCAGGCAAACATTAAGCTAAAGAAGCAGAGACTGAACACATAGTGGCAGGCTCACAACTCAATATGCTCCCCAGTCCTGACAGGCAGACAGAACCTGCCCGTATCGACAGACATCGACAGGCCCAAATGCACCCGTCGGCAAATGTTTGCATAAGGAGCTCTCCTGGGAGCTGAGGCGGGGCTGCCTCCCCTGTGGTCATCCCACCACCCAGCCCAGGCAGCAAGAGTGTGGGCTCAGCACTTCCTCCTTGTGTAGAGAGAAGCCTCTTCAATAAATTGAGCTCCAAAGACAGCATCCCACCCTCCATGGTGGATACAGCAGAGGCTAGACCTTGCTATGGGCCATCTCCAAAGCTACTTGCTGCTGCAGGGCCCAGAGGGTAGGTGCAGAAATGAAGGGGTTGAATTCACCCCACATTTGTTTTTCTGGCAGCCCCAAGATGGCCACAAGAAGCCTGTGTTACAGGTCACAGGACTGAGGCCACCAGGCATGGCTGTGACTCCTGAAAGCCACTGCCTTTTAGACCCTAGGACAGGTGCAGTCTTGCTGGGTCCTCCAGCTCTGGCGTCTGCACTCGGATCTCAGAAAGAGGTAGCCAGATGTGCAGGTGCCCTGGGAACAGTGGGTCTTCTGCCTACTGCCTCATTATCCTGGAGGGGTGCACATCAACCCAGGTCCTCAGAACAGGGCTGCGGACTCTGCAGCCTGCCTGGGCCTCTTTCTCCTCTGTGCTCTTTTCCCCACAGTGAAAAGTACTAGCTCGTTTGTGTTGAAGTCCGCATTGTTCTGAGTCTCCAGGGCCTTGGCAAAGCCCAAAAGGCCAGTGGGACTGGTGCCCAGCTCCAGCCTGGGCCCTGAACTCTGCCAGGAAGGCACTCAGATCTCAGGTGGAGGCCGCCAAGTACCAGCCACCACAAAGCCTCCCTGTGGGCTGCAGGCCACACCATCAAAGGCAGACATCTCAGCCCTTCTACAGGCAGAGCCTTGTTCGGGATGCCATGGCCAGTGAGCCATCCTTAGGGCCAGTGGGGGTGGCCAGTACCACTGCACTGGAGTTTTAGCACCACCCAAAGACGTGACAGCCAGTGGGAGTTGCCCTGTCCTGCTCCTGGGGCTCTGTTTCTCCCACAGCCCAGCTGCAGGCATGGGAGGGATGCAGACAGAGGGATCCTGGGTCAAAGCAAACAGCTGAACTGCAGTTCAGGCTAGTTTAGCTCTCGTTAGTATTACTGTGCTGTTCTCCCATCAGACCTTGCTAAGACCCACACTATGGAGGCTGTCACGGGTCTTATTCCAAAAGGATCCTGGGAGGTAAATACTGTCATTGTCCTGTCCAACAGGTCAGAAAACTGAAGCACAGAGAGGGCAAGTCACTTGTTCAGTGGCACTGGCTCCCCATGCAGAGCTGGAATTCAATCCCGGGCTTTTTAACCGTTCTCCTGACTGGCTCTTTGTATCCGCTAATTCAGGCAGCACCTTTGTTTGCCTCAGTGCACATAAGTGTCCTACTACCTGTTCTGTAGTCTCTGGCAAGTCACAGCCTCAGCTTTGCCATCTTTACAGTGGGCATAGGATGCTCCCTAAGGGGACGGTGCCTTTAAGGGGTTGCCACGTGGCTCCTGGTGTGTAGTGACAGGCTAAGTGGGTGGGGTGTCATCAGCATCACCCCACCAGTTCTTCCTGTTCAGACCCTGAGAGCACTGGCTGCTCTCCCAATGCCTGTCTGGTATGGCGGTCTCTGCCAACTCATCCCAGTCCAGAGGCCTGACCTGCACTGTTCTGCTTGCCTGGATTTCTCCTAGGCTCCATCCAGTAGGCTGAGGAATATGTATTTGGGCAGAAAAGGGGGAAGACCTGGTGTTCCTGAGCCTGGGTGTTGGGGCTGCGTAACAAAGTCCTGGCACATGAAATATTTTCATCTGGTCCTCAGTGCCACCTAGTCTCCTGAGTCTCCAAGCAGTGGCACAGGGCCTGGCACCCAGGACGAGCAATGATTCCCTCATAACATAGGGAAGAGGGACCCCAAGCCTTGGGTACGGTATGATTGCTAGCTGCTGGTCCTGTCATTGGTGTCCCAAAGAAGTCTGCTTCAAACCCCTCTTCCCAGTCCCAAGAGGCAGCCCCATTAGGCAGCCCCATTCTGTCCACTGTCCCTGTGTGCAAGGGACCAGAGTGTCCTCCTAACACTGGGAAGGGTCCTGGCAAGCTGAACAGTACAGGGCAGACCTCTGGACCTGGTTAGGAAAAGTTACCCTGCGTCATCAGACCTTCACACCAGGCAGGCACTTTGGAGAGGGAAGAAGACACCTTCCCTGCCCCTGGACTACCTGCCCTGCCCCTGGACTACCTGCCCTCCCCCTGGACTAACACCCTCTCTGGTCCTCTCCCTTCTGGCCTTCCCTCTGCCCCTCTCCTCCCTGACTCTGGTTCTCCCCCTGCTCTCTGCCTCCCGCCCCCCTCCCTGACCAGGAATCGGATTTCTTGTCTCCAGCCCTCAGCCCTGTAGTAGGTGAAGTGCTATTCTTCTTTGCCTTGCGTGTGGGATGTGAAAAGAGAGAGCAAGGAGGGAAGAGGAAAGTCTGCCTCTGGCTGTGTCCCTTTCTTCCCAAGCGTGTTACAAACCAGCGGGGTCTCGGCATTGCGAAGCTTTCAGGGCCCGGCAGGCCATGGTCACTGCGAGCACAGGTGACAGAATAAAATAGCACGCAAGAAATCCGCTGCCTGGCCCTGCCTTAAGCACTCGCAGCCAGGGAGGCCTGGCACATGGGCTTTTATTTGGCAGGAGCGCGGCTCAGCTTTCCCGTGTTGTCTTATTCCAGCTGGGGAGGCCTGATGGGCTGTGGTTAGCGGCTGCCACTTTCACCTCCAGAGTGGGGTGCACAGGCATGACTAGCATGGCAAGTGCCTGGCGGTGGCGCCGTCCCTCCATCCTTCTCCTGCCCACTGGGCCTAGCCAGGGTGGATGATTGAAAGCGTCCACAGTAAGAGCCCTTCAGCACAGATGGGGGTGATCTTGGCGAAGCCACAAGCCTAGCACACAGAGCCATCCTCCCAACCTGGGGAGGAGGGGTCAGGGAAGGAACCCTAGGCAGACCCCTGGCCTATCAGCCCTGCCCCTTCAGCTCCAGGCTTCAGTGTCAAGATTTTTGCCTCAATACCTCAACCTACCATGTGTGT